TTTAGTTTCCATTGATTTTTAGCTGTTGGGTTCCTGGTTCGTATCACTCAGGCAACTCAAGGAGCTAGCTTCGATCAAAGCAGTCTTCTTATCTCTCAAATCTTCGGTTTCTGGTAAAACCAATTTCCCTTTCGAAGCTGTTTCTCGAGAAGCTACACATTTGCTTCTGCAACTCGATTTCATTCAGGTATGGTGTTTTGAAGATTCATTGTGAATCGTCTTTGATTTTTTTATCATTTGTCACTCTCAGGATAGGGTTACGAGATGGAAAAAGAACACTGTGTAGAGATTTGCTGTGAAAAGGCGCATTGTTGTTTGTAAATCTGTGAGCTTTAGATGGTCTTGAAATGTCTTTCTCATTATGTGCTTGGATGTGTTAATAGTTGCTACTTAGTCGCAGAAAAATTGTGGATGCTTGTAGTTTGCTGTTTCTGTGGCAGATCACTTCTTGTATGGAACAAGATTTGTTGGTATGTTTGTTGATTTTTGGTTTTGACTATTGATTATCTAACACTTGGATATCATTTTGGTTTTGGATGTTTCTCGGTCAAATAAGTGTTTCTGAGGAGTCACAAGAAGAAATAAAGGAGAATGAGAATCGTCGGTTTAACGGGAGGCATAGCGTCTGGGAAGAGTACAGTCTCCAATCTCTTCAAGGCTAGTGGCATTCCCGTTGTTGATGCTGATGTTGTTGCTCGAGTAATGTCTCTGCCTCTGCGTTCCACATTTTTCTTTTATCTTTAGCTCATTATAGTACATTGGCCATATGTTTGTTGAGTTTCAAGTTGCTTTGATTTTCTATTTGCTGAAACATTCTGGCCATCATTTAGAAGATAGAGGTCCTTGTAGATGGAATTCAGCAGTAACAAAAGGTGCGGAATTGTGTGTTTTTATATAGAATGTGTTGAAGAAAGGAAGCGGTGGATGGAAACGCGTAGTAGCAGCTTTTGGAGAGGAGATTCTGCTTCCTAGTAGAGAAGTGGACCGCCCAAAACTCGGTCAGCTGGTTTTCTCTTCTGATTCCAAGCGCCAACTTCTAAACAAGTAAGGAATTTGAGACTTCCCTTTTTGTTTAATGGATGAGATCCTGAAAATCGCGTGTTGTGTCTTCAACTCTATAGGCTGATGGCTCCATACATATCAACTGGTATGTTTTGGGAAATTATAAAACAATGGGCAAAAGGAGCTAAAGTGATAGTTGTTGATATCCCGTTGTTGTTTGAAGTAAAGATGGATAAATGGACGAGACCCATTGTAGTTGTTTGGGTCAGTCAAGAAACTCAACTTAAGAGACTGATGGAGAGAGATGGACTGAGCGAGGAAGATGCAAGAAACAGAGTGATGGCTCAGATGTCTTTGGATTTGAAAAGAAGCAAAGCTGATGTTGTTATCGATAATAATGGAAGTCTCGACGACCTCAAACAACAATTCAACAATGTTTTGTCTGAAATCAGAAGACCATTGACGTGGAACGAGCTTTTGCGTTCAAGGCAAGGAGCCTTCTCGGTCCTTGGTTCGGTGATTTTAGGTGTCTTTGTTTGCAAACAGCTCAACATTGGCTCTTAGCAATTTTGCTTAGAATATTAACCAGCGTGGTGTGGTCGGTCACACATGGATTTGAAATGGATGATTTTGAAATAAACATTTACGATTCCAACTTGTACCTAGAATTCTTACTTTTGTGTACGATCTCTGATTCAAGACTGTCTGGGAAGAGTACTGTGTCCAACCTCTTCAAGGCTAGTGGCATTTCTGTTGTCCCTCGAGTAAAGTCTTTGTGTTAGCATTTCTCGTTCTCTTATATTTTTAGCTCATCAAAGTACATTGGCCATATGTTTTTTTAAGTTTCAAGTTGCGTTAAAGGCAGATTTTCTATTTTCTGAAACTTTCATTGTGCGGCCATTCCAAAGAGAGAGGTCCTCCTTGATGCAATTTAGCGGTAACAAAAGGTAAGTTGCAATTTATCCTTCGCATCAACTGCCACTTTCATTACTTCAAGAAACTCAACTTCCCACAAGAAACGCTTCACTAGTTAGATTCTCTACCAGTTCCTCTATACCCATATATCTTCAGTACTTCACTAAATTTCCATCAACATAGCCCCACAAATTCTTATACAATGAAATCCTTGAAGCGAGTAGAGAAAGTGTGAAATTCTCATATATAAACTTGTATAACTGAGAGATATCATATGTATATTACATACTTTGAGGATCAAAGTTTCTAGCTTTTTAAGAGTTTTTTATCAGACTCCAAAGAAGTTTCCAACCTTTCTTGGTTTTACATTTTTAAAATAGATTGGCAAGGTTTTTAAACAAGAGAAATCCACACCAATGCTACGCCAATAATCGAAGCATTGGCCCATCAGCTTCAAAACAAACACACACGAATTGGCTTTCATGATCATATGAAAACGGCATGGCAACCTCAGTGAGATTTCTATGCTGAGAAATAAAGCCGCCAATATAGAGGGATTGATGATCGTAATTATTTTTTGAGTAGGAGATTTTTTAAGTAGGAGATTGTTGAGATATATTACATGTAAA